AAAATCAATAAAATCGGAAAAAAACGCCCAGCCCTATGAGGAACTAATGCTTCCAGTCTCATTTGACCTCAAAAAAGCCTAATTGTTTTACCTCTTCTCAGTGTGCAGAAGCTGAGTGAATTTCTTGGCAGCACTGAGATCAAGATCGATCAGGATCCTGCAGTGCAAACTACAGCGACAGAAAACAACAACAGCAACATTAAGTCTGTGGTGAGTTCAGCTTCATGTCCTTCCCAACCCGCGTGTGAACTGATCTCTTGCACAGAAAACACAAGGACAGATTTTAAGCAAGGACTCAGTGAACTATATCTTTAAGTTAGAGGAAGATTGAGTATTGTTTTTTAAGTATTGTTTCAAAAGCATCTGCACTCAACACTAGGGCTGCATGATTAATTAAGATAAAACCAAAGTCACTGCGATTATTTTTAATTAATTAAAAATATATATTTTTAAATGTAGGCAGAAATTACAACAGCCATAAATATTAGTATTGCAATTTTATTTTATTTTACATTTTTCCTAAATACTTTTTTTTTTTATATTACAGTTGCAATATTTCTTATCTCGTTTTTATTTACTAATTTTCAGGCAGAAATTACGACAGCCATAAATATTAGTATATAAACGCAAGTATTAGTATTTTATTTTACGTTTTTCCTAAATACTTTTTTTTTTTTTATATATTACAGTCGCAATATTTCTTATCTCGTTTTTATTTACTAATTTTTATATTTCATTTAATAATAATAATTACAACAACAAAACAATTATTTTATTTTATTTTATTTTATTTTTTATTTTATTTGCCAAAGTTTTCAACCCTACAAGCACAGCAAGCCTGGATTTTTTTTTTAATTTATTTATTTTTTTATTGCTATTTTTATCAGAGAAATCACAATTTGATTTGTTTCCCCAAATGCTGCAGACCTACTCAAATCTTTAGTAACATGTATATTAGTTTTGCAATTTTATAGTTGTAAAATGTAAAATTAAATTAGTATTATTAAATACACAGTTTTTTATTTTATATATTTTAAAAATATTTTATATTTAAAAATGTCATACCTTTTTCATATCTAAAATGTTTTTAGTCAGTAATTTGTATATTTTCATTTAATAATAATAATAATAATAATGCTAAAATCATCGTAATGAATTATTCTTATTATGATTATTATAGCTTTTTTTATGAATAATTCCTGCATTGCATGAATGAAGAGTTTTGGTTCTCTGCCCTCAGTATGCATTACAGCTCCAGGCCAAACTCGTGAATCGTAAGAATAAAGCCAAGCAGGACGTGAACAGGAACTTTGAGCAGCAGGACCAGGAGCTGACGGCATCAGCCAATCAGGACGAGGACGTGTGCATAAAGGTTCGATTCATATGATGCATGCTTTATTGAATACTGAATGTTTTGAATATTGAATGTCTAGAACATTGATCGATTCTGTTGATGTTGATTTTTTAATAATCAAATTACTTAGTATAGTTTTCTGCGTATTAAACTTTTTTTTCCTAGATTGTGAACGGCTACTTCACATGGACGCAGGGATGCCCGACTCTCACCAATATCGACATAAAGGTTCCTTTCGGTGAGGTTTTGTCTCACAGTTGCTGTAGTGCTGTACTAGCATATTTTACGGAAGCACTAAGTGTATTTCCTCTGACCCCCCGTGATCTGTTAGGTCAGCTGACGATGATCGTAGGGCAGGTGGGATGTGGGAAATCCTCTCTTTTGCTGGCAGCACTGGGAGAGATGCAGAAGATTTCTGGAAACATCACATGGAACAGGTAAAAATCAACATAATGCCGTATTATACTAATAAAGATTATTAGATGCTGTGCTTTATTGTGAATGAAGTCATCTCATCGTAATGAATTATTCTTATTATGATTATTATAGCTTTTTTTATGAATAATTCCTGCATTGCATGAATGAAGAGTTTTGGTTCTCTGCCCTCAGTATGCATTACAGCTCCAGGCCAAACTCGTGAATCGTAAGAATAAAGCCAAGCAGGACGTGAACAGGAACTTTGAGCAGCAGGACCAGGAGCTGACGGCATCAGCCAATCAGGACGAGGACGTGTGCATATAGGTTCGATTCATATGATGCATGCTTTATTGAATACTGAATGTTTTGAATATTGAATGTCTAGAACATTGATCGATTTTGTTGATGTTGATTTTTTAATAATCAAATTACTTAGTATAGTTTTCTGCGTATTAAACTTTTTTTTCCTAGATTGTGAACGGCTACTTCACATGGACGCAGGGATGCCCGACTCTCACCAATATCGACATAAAGGTTCCTTTCGGTGAGGTTTTGTCTCACAGTTGCTGTAGTGCTGTACTAGCATATTTTACGGAAGCACTAAGTGTATTTCCTCTGACCCCCCGTGATCTGTTAGGTCAGCTGACGATGATCGTAGGGCAGGTGGGATGTGGGAAATCCTCTCTTTTGCTGGCAGCACTGGGAGAGATGCAGAAGATTTCTGGAAACATCACATGGAACAGGTAAAAATCAACATAATGCCGTATTATACTAATAAAGATTATTAGATGCTGTGCTTTATTGTGAATGAAGTCATCATGTCAAAGGGCATTAATACAACATAATGAAAGCCCTTCTTTCAGCTTGTTTATTTCATGGTTATTATTGTTAACTAAAAATATATATTTTTTGTTAATAAAAATTATGCTAAAAGAAACTATACATAAAAACTAACAAAAAAAAAAAGAATTAATTGAAAATTAGGCAACAAAAACTAAAGGAAATAAGTTTGTTGAAGCACTTACATTACTAACAAACAAACTAACAAACAAACAAACAAAAATAAATAAATAAATAGTAAATAAATAACAACTAATAAATAAATAAAAGCTAAAACTGAAATTTGTTGATGTTGATTTTTTAATAATCAAATGACTTAAAAGTTAAAACTGAAACTAAAATAAAAATAAATAAAACCTAAATAGTGATATAAAAAACTAATAAAATTACAAAATCACATAACAAAATTAACACAAAATTGCACTAGAATTAAAACAAAAATGAATATAAAAATAATAAAACTTATAATAAAAATAATAATAAACTAATAAAAACTGTGATAATATATAAATAATAATTAAAATATTTAATATTTTTATTTAATAAAATATTTAATATATTTATAAATTTAATATTTATAAAATAACTATAACTAT